GGCATGTTTGCTTCCTCTTCTGCCATGATTGTAAGTTTCCTGAGGCCTCCCCAGCCATGCTGAACTGTGAGTCAATTAAACATCTTTTCTTTATAAATTACCCAGTCAAGGGTATGTCTTCATAGCAGCGTGAAAATGGATTAACACAATGTTAAAATAATTGGCTAGCCACTGGAAAACCTCATACCATATACTAAAATAAACTCCAAATGAATCAGGGATCTAAATGTAAAGCAATGAAGCCATACTACCACGAGAAGGGGGAAAAAAGGTGAATTCTCTCATCTCGATGCAGGAAAAGGTTTGCTACCTACAACTCAAAATTGGGAAGACTGAAAGATTGATCGATTTGACTACATACTTTTTTAAAATTTCTATATGGCCAAAAACACTCTATTGTAAACAAAAGGCAACAGATAAAATGAGAGAAAATATTTGCATCATATCACAGATAAAGGAGTAATAACCATAATATATAAAGAACTCTGAAAGACAAAAACAACAGAAAAATGGGCAAAGGACATGGGAAAATACATACACTCACATATACTTATACACACACACACACATATATATCCCTTAGACATATTAAAAGATGTTCAATTCCACTTATAGTGGAAAAAATATAAATTTAAATTACATCGAGATGCTATTTCTCAACTATCAAATTGGCAAAAATTAAAAAAAAAAAAAAAAAAGTCACTCTTGGCCAGGCTATGGAGAAGCAGACACTCTCATACAGAGTTTCTCAGAGAACTGGCTGATTCTAGGGCTGAGGCAGAGAAGGTATGCAATGAGAAACATTCTACATGCACAAGAAAGAATATGTTCAAAGAACGAAGGAGATGTGTCAAAAGACACAGGAGGCGGCTTGAAGAAACTCCTACTGGCCAAATCTGGGATAATTTCAGCATCAAAATACGTAATAATAATAAATTAAGACTAATATCAGAATCCATGAATATGCACTGAAATAAATAAATGAGATTGAAGAGAGAGCTCTTTTTGGGGGAAGAAAGTCAACTATAAATAAATGAAGAAATGATGGACTTTTAAAAATCGCCATTAGGCAGCCATCATAAGAATAAATGATGCACACAAGCATCAATAGATTTTAAAAGCCTAGGGTTAAACGTGTGAGGAGTAACAGGACATTAACGAAATCTAAAAATATCATTCCATAACACAATTATTATTGGAAATAAAGGAAACAGTAACTTTCCGAGAAAAACGAGAAACCAGAAAATCTAACAGAAACCTGACCTTAACCAGGGGATCTAAGTTAATATCACCAGTGGTGAGACAAACAGACATCACGTGCCTCTGAATAAGATGTACTGAGAAGAACACAGCGTCCCTCATGTAGCATTTCTACAGAAAACACAAAACCTGAATACAGGCACGAGGAAGAAACAAACAAACTACTGTTGAAAGACACTATGTAATATTGCCAAGTACTCTCCGAAAATGTCAAAGTCACAAAACACAGGAAGACTGAGAAGCTGTTCCAGGTTAACCAAATGTAACATATGATCTGGTAATTTCTTACTATAAAGATATTTTGGGGATAACAGAATCTGAATAAGGTCTACAGTCAGATAATATTATAGTATCAGTGTTAATATCCCAATTTTATTTATTTATTTATTTATTTAGAGACCGAGTTTTGCTCTTGTTGCCCAGGCTGGAGTGCAATGGCACGATCTCAGCCCATTGCAACCTCCGCCTCCCAGACTAAAGCAGTTCTCCTGCCTCAGCCTCCCCAGTAGCTGGGATTACAGGTGCGTGCCACCACGTCCAGCTAATTTTTGTATTTTTAAGTAGAGATGGGGTTTCACCATGTTGGCCAGGCTAGTCACGAACTCCTGACCTCAGGTGATCCACCCGTCTCGGCTTCCCAAAGTGCTGTGATTACAGGCATGAGCCACCGTGCCCAGCCTATTTATTTATTTTTTGAGACAGAGTCTTGCAATTCTCCTGTCTCAGCAATTCTCCTGTCTCAGCCTCTCGAATGAGTAGCTGGGATCACAGGTGCACGCCAACGCATCCAGCTAATTTTTGTATTTTAGTAGAGATGGGGTTTTGCCGTGTTGCCAAGGCTGGTCTTGAACTCCTAACCTCAGGTGATCTGCCCACCTCGGCCTCCCAAAGTGCTAGGATTTCAGGCATGAGCCACCGCACCTGGCCAATATCCTGATTTTTGAAAAAACATTCAACAAGAAGGGGGAAAAAAAATTAAATTGCATTTACATGCTATTGTCTAAAAATGATATATACATACATATATATCTTTAATAATATGTGCAAATGTATAGAGATGACTTTTCTAAGCACAAAGTAAAGGTGAAAAGCATAATTGGTAATGGTGATAAACTATTTCTAAGTAAAGGGGTTGGGGTGTGTTTTGGCAGAGGCAGATAGGACTGATAGTAAAACAAAATTTTTACAGCCTAATTTTATAATTACCAAATGAGGGTGGTGATATTATGGAATGTTACTATCTTCTAGTGTTTTTCAATATTTTTTAAGTGTGAAATAGTCATTTATGAAAAATATTGCTTTTATTCAGGACAGAACTTGAAATCAACTGAATTAACTTAACAACATTCATAAATGACCTTAATTCCATACTAATATTCTCATGTTAACATCAGCTGTTTGAGTAAATACAGGAACATAGAGATTATTTCTATCTCTTCATGTAATACAATAAAGAGAGAATACAATCTGTAGAGACTGTGCACATTCTCCAAGAAACAAGTTTACAAGTGTTCGCAGCACTGTTCACAATGCAAAAATCATGAAACCCAAACATCAGTCAACAGGAGAATGGAGAAATCGGCATATTCATACTATGAAACTATGGCATAGTTTCATACAATGGAAAGCTAAACAGCAATGAAAATTAATCACCTAGAGCTACATGCATCAGCACTGTTAAAACATCAAAATCCTAATGTTTAGTGAAATAAGTACAGAAGAATATATCCAGTATGATTCTGCTACATAAAGATAAAAAACAAGTGAAACCAAACATTGTTCATAAATGTGTGGGTGTGTAACCATATATATACACACACACACACGCTATATATATATATATATTTTTTTTTGAGAGAGAGGGGGTCATTCCATCACCCAGATTGGAGTGCAGTGGCACAATGACAGCTCACTGCAGCCTCAACATCCAGGGTTCAAGCAATCCTCCCACTTCAGCCTCCCAAGTAGCTAAGACTGCAGACATGCACCACTATGTCTAATTTTTTAATTTTGTAAAGATAGGGTCTCGCCAGGTTGCCCAGGCTAGTCTCAAACTCCTGGTCTCAAACAATCCTCCTGCCTCAGCCTCCCAAAGTGCTGGGATTACAGGCATGAGCCACCGCACCCAGCCTGGGCTCCATTTTTTTAGGCAGGATAGCCCCGGAAGGGAAAGAGTTCTCTGTCAAATCCTCATGGCTTCACAGACAACTTGAAAATATCCAGTTCTTTCCCATCTTATTTCTATGCTCACCAACAGAGTTCTGATTCAAGTTTCATCCTTTCAAAAAGTCTACAGCTGGCTACAGCACATCTCCCACTGCCAACTAATACACTGGAGAATTCAATCTCATGTAAGCTTGCTTGGCTTGGATAGCTTTATTCAGTCTCACAATCTCCATCCACCCTAAATGAATTGATAAAATCAAATTTCTTCACCTGCAAAGTCACACCTGGGAATCCGGATCAAATGGTACAGAGTTCCTCTCTTCCTGAAGTCCTGCCTGACAGGAATGTAACTGCCACTGCTGAAATGTTAACTTTCCAGAAGCATCTATCAAGGGCAGACCATCTGTCTCCATTAACCACAAGATGCCTAATGGACACCGGGAGCAATTCAACACTCACTAATTAACAAACACTGGCCTTCAAGAGAAGAGGCTCTAAGTACCAATCGATAACTTCGTGTTAATCATTAACAAAATAGAAAATAAACTATGGCTGAGTTAACTCCGAAATTAATTTTAACATTTCATGCAACATCTCAAAACAGAGAAAAAGCAATTTTAAAGGGTAAATATCACAGAAGTTCATCATATAATTATATAAAAATTATCACACAAAATAATCAAACTGCTATCAAATAGACATAACTTACTAATAACAGATTTATAGCATTTACCCAATAAGGCTTTCTTTTAACCTTCACATAATCTTCAGTAAAATCTAAGAAGCTGTCTTTTAAAAAAATCAGGCATTAGAAACATGATTTTTTTAATTGAAAAAATAGGCAGACATTATTTCTAAATGTTTTCTCTTAGCAACTTTTTTAACACACCATCTTTTGTCCTCAAAAAATGGTATGAATAGGCCAAGCATGGTAGCTCACTCCTATAATCCCAGCACTTTGGGAGACCAAGACAGGCAGGTAACATTTGAGGTCAAGAGTTTGAGACCAGCCTGGCCAACATGGTGAAACTCCGTCTCTACTATTACAAAAATAAAAAAATTAGCTGGGCAAGGTGGTGCACGCCTGTAATCCCAGCTACTCTGGAGGCTGAGGCACGAGAATCACTTGAATCTAGAAGATGGAGGCTGCAGTGAGCCGAGACTGTACCACTGCACTCCAGCCTGGGCAACAGAGCAAGACCCCATCTCAAAAAATAGTATGAATACATCAATAAGGCAAACTCTAAATCCCAGTCATCATCTTCTGTACTTCTACTACACCTTCCTTCCTTCCTTTGTGCTTTCCCTTGTGAAATTCCATTACTTCCTGGATATCAGATTCCCATCAAGCCCCTACTCTCCCTACTAGCAGCTCCTGAAAAAATAACTTCTTACACCATGAGTATCTCAGTCTATTAAAAAGTGGCACAAATAGCAAATTTCCCTTTGTCATGGACTGAAGGCTTGTGTCTCCCCAGAATTCATATGTTGAAACCCTACTCCCTGACGATAGGATTAGGAGGTAGGGTCTTTAGGAGATAATTAGGGTTAGATGAGGTCATGAGGATAGAGACCTTAGGAATGAGACTGGTGTCCTCATAAGGGTCCAGAGAGCTTGCTGCTTCTCTCCACCATGTGAAGACCCAGGGAGAAGGTGCCATCTATGAACCAGCAAGCTGACTCTCACCAGATACTGAATCTGCCAGCACCTTGATCTTGGATTTCCCAGCGTCCAGAGCTGTGAGAAATAAATGTCTGTTGTTTATAAACCAACCAGTCGACAATAGTTTGTTACAATAGCTCTAATGGACTAAAACACCCTTCAAAACTGAAATAATAAAATTTTTCTCCATTGTCTGTGCCTCATGTCTCATTCTCCAAATCTTTTTAGGCTGTAAAGAGAAGTATGCTCCTACATGTTACAGAGCTAATAATGGTAACAACAAAAGCCTATGCGTGCTTCTTTACCATTTATTTCTGAGTAAGTAATATTCACATAGTTCAAAATGCAAAATAGAACATAAAAGGTAAAAAAGGAGTATTCAGAGAAAAGTCTACCTGTCTCCCAGCTACCTAATGTCTTATCTCAAAAGCATGGAATATTATGGTTCTTTTTCTATCCTTTCAGAGATATTATATCTATATACATGCAAATGTTTATAAATTCTCTTTTATCACATTCTTCTATGCCTTGTTCTTACTCAGGATTTCATTGTACAGCAGATCAGAATACAATGAGCTTCCTCTTTCTATTTTATGGCTACATATGACTCTTCAAATATGTGTAAACCAGTTTCTGTGGTTCTAGCCTCACCACACCAATTTATTCAATATGCGTGGTCCCAGACAAGTCTGACATTTTTTTAAGAAAAATAAACACTCTTTCATGTTTAAATATTTTTTATATGTTAAGCCAGGTTATTGCATCAATACTAGACTTTGTGGGTGTGACAACAGTTTGGCAGGTATATACAGAAAACAGTCCTCCTTAGCATGTATTTAGAGGTGAAATGTCATGATGTCTGCAACTTACATTCAAACGATGAGGCAAAATAATACAAATATGCATGGTTACCACCTATGGTTCAAAATACACACACCTGGAACAAGCCAGCAAGCACAGCAAAATGTTAACTAGTGAATACAGACGGAGGGTATACAGGTGCTCACAGTACTATTTTTTTAAGTGTGAAATTTTTAAAATATTATAAAAAGCTAGGGCAAAAAGCCTGTATTATTTCCATGGGGTCTCCCCCATTTGCCACTGTGAAAGAAAATAAAATCTCAGGACCCCAAACTCACTATGCCAGAGGGAAAGTTAAGCCTGGAAACTGAATCACGAAAAAACTGCCTTACTTTTGTTCCCAAACAGCTGTAATTTCACATGCTTACTTTATCTTACGTAAAATGTAGATTTACTGAGCACACGACGAATGCATAATCAACTTTTCCCCCCACTCCTTTCTTTTCACATGTAAAAATGTAGATTCACTGAGCAGTACTAATCAGAGCCTCCCAAGAATGTAACCACTTGCCTCAATGCCTACCCACTCTCCTTTTTTTTTTCCTTCCCCTCCTGCTTTCTCTTTCCACTTTAAATATTGAAGTTCCCAAATTCCTCTTCGGAAAAAGCACAAGACACAGATCCTACTGTGACTTGTGTTTCTTTTTCGGGGGCGCGTCCTCAACCTTGGCAAAATAAACCTCTAAACTGATTGAGATCTGCCTCTGCCACTGTTTGGTTTACACTTTAAAACATACAGTGGTTCTTCCCCAACTCCCAAGCCTATGTCCTAACCTAGCCCAACCACTTCCCTTGCATTCTCCCAAAAGAAAATTAAAATGAGTTCTTTTTAGCTATTCTTTACTACTGGTCCTTCAAACTGCTCAGATTCCATGGCTCCCTGGAGTCTTCCCCTACTGCTTTGTCCCTTCTCACCTAGAGCACTCTCTGCGCGTACTCCTTCACTGCACTTCACCATTTCATGGCCTAAGTATTGGGAACTCAGCTAGAAAGTAAGCACCTACAGCAAAAAGCCCTAGATGAACAATTCTTTTGTAATTCCCACAGCACCTAACTCATGCTATGCACATAATAGGTATTAAAAAAGTGTTCACTGAAAGAATGGTTTGTTGTTTTGTTTTGAGACAGGGTCTTACTCTGTCACCCAGACTAGAGTGCAGTGGCATGATCACAGCTCACTGCAGCCCCGGCCTCCCAAGCCCAAGTAATCCTCCTGCCTCAACTTCCTGAGTATCTGGGATCACAGGCACACATCACCACACCTGGGTAAAGACAAAGTCTCACTATGTCGCCCAGGCTAGTCTCACACTCCTGGACTCAAGCAATCTTCCTGCTTCAGCCTCCCCTAGTGCTGGGATTACAGGCATGAGCCACCACACCGAGCCTAGAATGGGTTTTTAAAACAATTTGGGAACTACTGCTAGGCAATGGGGAAAAGGTCTCAAAGCTCACTGGCAGTCTTCTTAAAAACACCTCCAGTCTTTCAGTTTTTCTTCAGCACTTTAAACTCATCTCATCATTCCCATCCTTCCACATTGTTAGAACTGTCTTCTCTCTGCCACAAACAATGCCAGATTATCTTACTAAGAATGAAAAAACCTGCTCCATGACCACAAATAAAGCAGCTCTAGAAGTTAGAGGAGCAAAATTATCTTAAATTTTACTTACATGATGAAATTACTCTTGAAGACTGTAAGAAAGTGTAAACCACTTGAAAAAGAGTACTTCTGAGTAACGTGTCCACGGGATATTCCTGCAGTTTGAAATCAGGGAAGACCTGCCTTTTAAAGTGTGTTAACTTCGGTTAATCAACACAATGCTAGAGACATCTGAATACAGAGGCAACTAGCACGTTGACTCAGACAACCTGTGTCTAACAACAACACACGATGAAAAGCTGATTCACTAACAAGAAAAAAAAAGGAATGTTACTAAAAAATAGGGATATCTACTTAAACTGAAATCGCACAAACCTACAATAAGAAGAATTGAAACCTATTTCATTTTTTTTCACCTGATTATGTCATGGACTTCAGAAGGACCTAAAAATACAACCCTCCGAAAATTAGGATCCAAAGAGGTTAAACACACCTAAGTCCAACATCTCGTAACTCAGAAGTTAAAGTCAAAGCTTGCCTGAGAACTCAAATACAGTGGTCTTCTCATGCTCATTCTGTCCACTTCACTTCTAAATTTCCTAACCTTATCTTTCTGCCCAAAAAGTACAGCGGACAGGGAGGTGGAAGACCTAACTGTGATCATCTATGCTGTGAACCAGGTGTGTAAGTTTAAGTAAATTGTCTCATTTATAAAATGAGAAGACTGAACTCAATGAGCTCTGAAGGCCCTTACAGCTGGAATACAAGGTGCTCCTTGAGAGTGGCATAGGTCAGCTGCTATTTAACACAAATTTCACTCTACTACTTTTTTTTTACATACCAAACTCTGCTATAGTTTAAGAAATTTAAAAATACTACTTTAACCCAAACAATATCTTTGTTTACCAAAAATTTCCATATGTAGAAAGGATCCTGAAATTCTATATAGTTATTTATTACCAAAATTTAGGTAAACTGCTCTTTAAACTTCAATCTGAAACCTACTTGAATGCCTATTTAAATTTGAAAGTCTAAACACCAATCTGAAACCTATTTGAATGCCTATTTAAATATCAAAAAAAGCTGGGGAAGTGATACATTTCACATATCTTTTTCATTCAACCTGAAATATGCTACATAAACATGTTAAACTCTTCAGAAATAATTAGCACTTTCTGGGCGCAGTGGCTCACGCCTGTCATGCCAGCAATTTGGGAGGCCGACGTGAGTGGACGACCTGAGATTAGAAGTTCAAGAGACCAGCCTGGCCAACTTGGTGAAACCCCGTCTCTGCTAAAAATATAAAATTAGCCCGGTGTGGTGGTACATGCCTGTAATACCAGCTGCTTGGGAGACTGAGGCAGGAGAACTGCTTGAACCCAGGAGGTGGAAGTTGCAGTGAACTGAGATCATCCCACTGCATTCCAGCCTGGGCAACAAGAGTGAAACTCTGGGGCAGGCACAGTGGCTCACACTTGTAATCCCAGCACTATGAGAGGCTGAGGTGGATGGATCACCTGAGGTTAGAAGTTCAAGACACCAGCCTGGCCAACATGCTGAAACCCCATCTCTACTAAAAATATAAAATTAGCCAGGTATGGTAGTGCATGCCTGTAATACCAGCTACTTGGGAGACTGAGGCAGGAGAACTGCTTGAACCCAGGAGGTGGAGGTTGCAGTGAACCAAGATTACCCTACTGCATTCCAGCCTGGGCAACAAGAGTGAAACTCCAGGCCGAGCACGGTGGCTCATGCCTGTAATCCCAGCACTTTGGGAGGCCAAGGCAGGTGGATCACCTGAGGTCAGGAGTTCGAGACCAGCCTGGCCAACATGGTGAAACCCCATCTCTACTAAAAATATAAAACTAGCTGGGTGTGGTGGTGCATACCTGTAATACCAGCTACTTGGGAGGCTGAGGCAGAAGAACTGCTTGAACCCAGGAGGCGAAGGTTGCAGTGAGCCGAGATTGTCCTACTGCATTCCAGCCTGGGCAACAAGAGTGAAACTCCATCTCAAAAAAATAAACAAACAAATAAATAAATAATTCGCACCAGCATGCGATTTTACAGACTATAATATCAGAGTAAAATTTGTCTTTAGTTTTGGACTGCTATTAATCAGGCTAAAAAAAGAAAAAAAAATGCCTACGGTAAGCGTAGGATGTTTACTAGGCTATCCATATTAGGAACGGAAGAAAGTAAAAGGAAAAAGGAGAAGAAATGGAAAGGAACCAAAAAAGACAAAAAAGGGAGGAAACTGAGTGAGTAAAGAACTCAGGAAAAAAAGGCAATAAATAGGGAGGAAAAGAATGGTCCCCAACTGGCTTGCTGATATGCCAGGGCCAGGGTGGGCCGGCATCCACAAAACGCTCAGATAGATTCCAGACGTATTCCGGTTTTTTGTTTGTTTTAATTTTGGACAGAAAGTTTACCCAGAGGGGACATGTTTCCTTGTGTCTGCTCCTAGACTCCCTGTTGAAGACTAGGAAGATTCCAACGCATGAAAAGGAACACAAGAGTCTACAGTCCAGAATACTCTAGGTCAGTGGTCCCCAAGTCCCGGGCTACAGACAGGTACTGGTCCATGACCTGTTAGGAACTGGGCACGCAGCAGGAGGTGTGCGGTGAACTAGCCAGTAAAGCTCCATCTGTATTTACAGCCGCACCCCATCACCCGCATTACCTCCTGAGCTCTGCCTCCTGTCAGATCAGCAGCGGCACTGAATTCTCATAGGTGCACCAACCCTACTGTGAACTGCGCATGTGAGGGATCTAGGCTGTGGGCTCCTTATGAGAGTCTAATGCCAGATGACGTGTCACTGTCTCCCATCATTCCCAGATGGGACCATCTAGTTGCAGGAAAACAAGCTCAGGGCTCCCACTGATACTACATTATGGTGAGTTGTATAATTACTTCATTATATATGACAATGTAATAATAATAGAAATAAAGTGCACAATAAATGGAATGTGCTTGAATCATCCTGAAACCATCCCCCACCCCAGCCATCCGTGGAAAAATTATCTTTCACAAACCAGTCCCTGGTGCCAAAAAGTTTGGGGACTGCTGCCCTAGATGACTGACCTGCAATGTCTAAGACCCAACATGTTCCTGAGGAGTAATCTTACCAGAGCTTACAGTTCTTACTCCAAAAGAGCATGATGATCAAAAAACACGTTTTAGGAAGTAAGATGAGTATTTACGCAATCACAGTTCAGTGCTTTAAAACAACTGTTACTCTCCAAAAGCAACAATAAATGCAGTCAGAATGCATGCATTGCCAATGGACTCTCGGGAACCACTGTGGTCTCCCTCCACAATGCTGACGGCTTTCTGGGGTAAGAGGCTGGACCACTCAGACACAGAATGAGCCAGGACGTGCTGCCACTGTTTCCCACAGAAGAGCAAATGTTCTTCGGTTATTGCAAGGCATGATTTCTCACACAAATGATCACTTTTAAAACTTTAGAGCAATTCTGTTGTTTGGGTATTTCTGTTGTTTAGAATCCCAAATAATATTTTATTTTTAAAAAACATGTATCTCAAAAACATTCTGCAGATGATATGAAACGACTAAACAGGGTACTGATTAAGCCTATAAAATCCTTGCTCCAAACTGCTTGTCAGGTAGTAACAAAGATATATGGCAAAGAACAAACCCCTATGTTTCTTTTTCAGGAGAACTAAATTAGCAGCAGAAAGAATCTCAATTTAAAATCCTTTAAAAAGAGGAGTAAAGGGGGATTTTATATCTTTTTCCATAAAAATAAGAGACGTGTAAGCAGAGTAACTTTTTGTAAGCTAAGAGGCATAAAACAAACTACAGATTTCAAAGATAAAATCCAAAATAAACGGCATAAAAAAAAAAACTTTCATTTGCTATTAAATACCTGAATTTTCAGGCAATACATGCTAAAAATAGAAGAGTCATCACAAATTATTTTGGAACTGAGCCTATAAAAAGTAGGTCTTACAAAATTCTAAACAGCTAAAAACTAGGAATAGCTAAAGGAATACGAATGACACTAAGGACAAAGGATTAAATAAATGTTCTTAGCATAGCAGTAACTAATCTCTCTGGAAACATAAACAAAAAAGATAAACACAGAGTTTTAAAAATAAACAATATGTGCAATGGATGCATGATACATCAATACAAAAGCAGACAGCAAAACAACTGTCAGTGGCCTTGACAATGGACAGATAAGTAGCTTGGTGAACATAACAAAAAGATTCAGTACTAACAAAAATGTCCCTAGAAATAGGACACTAGCACTTATGGTCACAAGCCACACACAATTTTGCAAGAGAAAGATCTGAAGTGGCATTTTTTTATGAGTTGTACAAGAATTGACAGAGGTATGAAGCAGGTTCCCAGAAACTCCCCTAGTGGTTTAAATACCATCACCGAAAGAATGACTTTAGAAGGTGACTGCCTCCTTCGTGGAGATGAAAAGCAGCAGAATATTTCACACCTGTGTCAGCAACTTTTCCAAAGTGTAATCCAGGTTCAATATTCGGGTCTTCTAACGTAGATAGCACAAAAAAAAAGAGAAGGGTGCCC